TTGAGTGTCTGTGTCTGTGTGTGTGTGTGTGTGTGTGTGTGTGTGTGAGAGAGAGAGTGTGAGTGTGTGTGTGTGTGTGTGTGTGTGTGAGTGTATGTGTGTGTGTGTTTCCCGTGGCTCGTTCTAACCGTCTCTCTCTGCTCAGGTGTTTTATTATCACGAGAGGCCGTTTGCTCCTCTGGAGGGCCGCTTTAGGAAGAAGGTGGACTGGGCTGGAGACATCAGCGGCCGTGATGCGTCTGTGGTTCTGCGCAGAGTGCCGTTCTCGTTTAACGGGACGTTCAGCTGTCAGGTGAAGAACCCGCCGGATGTTCACGGGAACGTGGGTGTGGTGCGTCTGCAGGTCGTCAGCACAGGTGAGCGTTAGTGAAGCTTCAGAATCACTGATTCAGAGCGCAGATCAAACAGCCAGAGTCACATGGTTTCAGTAAACGACGCGTTACATCATAACTGATTTGGAACGGTTCGATGTTTCAGTGGTTTGCTGCTGATCTCTGTGAACCCGTGAACCAGTGTCTATATGGATTTTAGTTGATTTCGGATAAATATGATAGACATGCGGACATTTTAATTACACATTTGTATAATAAATGTATTATAAAATATTTCTATTAAAAAGTCACATTTCCACAAATTAGGGACTTAGATCAGAGCAGAGTCTAAAGTCATGGCATTAAATGTTGCGTACACTGCAAAACATAAATATCTTTCTCAGTATTTCTGTCTTGTTTTTCAGTAGAATTATCATATAAATTGGTTTGTGCAAGCTGTTTTTATGCATGTTAGACTGTTTAGTATGTTTTTGCATTTACACGTTTGTGACCAGAGTGTGGCTTCGAAACAGCGAATCGTTTTGCGAAGCAGTTGGTTCAAAGTTTCGAAAGCTGACGATGGTTCGGTCTGAGAGTCTGTCGCTGCACACACGTGTCGCTCACATGATCTCTGTGTGATTCCAGCCTCGCTCTCTGAGATCCTGATTCTCTGTGTGGCCATCGGAGGCGTCATTCTGCTGATTCTGCTGCTGGTGATGATCGCGGCATCGTTGCGCCGCTGTCACAGACGGAGGAACCCAGAGCCAAACCACACCGTCTTCCGACACGAGCACAACCTGATCAGCTGCTGAGAACCTGATCAACACACACACACACAAACACACACACTTACAATCTCTCTCACACACACACACACACACACACACACAC